TGCGTAGTTTATAAAAGAATTTTTGGAGCCTTTTTTTTCACTTTTTGTAGCTTCATTATTGCTTTCTATTGACTCATAATCAGACTCATTATCAATAACGTAACCTGACTCCAAATGAGCAATAAGATCCTTTAATTTGATGATCCTATTATGAAGTTTTTCAATATCAGTATTAAATACATTCTGTTTTTCTATTAAGGCTCGTTTCCAATCTTTAAACCTTCGTTCTTGGTTTGCAATTATACCGGCAAATTTCTCTTTCATTTTTATTTGCTTATCTATGAGAATTGGGTCGTCATCCTTTGTAGTTTCTCCACAAGATGCCAATATCTTTTGGTGGAAATAAACCAGTTGTTCTAAACCGTTCATTCTCTGTATATTTGCTTCACTAATCGATTGTCCCTTGATTGCTTCTTTAAATCTCTCACCCAAGTAATGACTACGAAAACTTTCATAATGCATATCAGTTGATATTATGAGGTCTAACATATTCTTACCCATCAATATTTCTCTCAAATGAATAAAATCACAATGTATTGGGTTTTCAATCTCAGCAATACCCCAATCATATTTCCTTCCTCTAACTAACTTTCCCTGTGAGTTTTCATGATATTCATTGGAGCCTATAATTGCAAATGGCATATGGGAATAAATTTGGTCTTTCACATTTTGATCTAAGATATGGCCACAAATAGTAATATTGTTTAATTCTAGAGTTTGATTAACGATTGCCTTGAAATGCTTCAAATCTTCTGTACTAAATGTATCGCTCTTAGAAATTACTGGAATAAGGTTGATACGTCTAGATAATTCCTTCATTGACAAAATATCTAATTGGTTTAAACCCTTTCCATTTGGAACAATGAAATACAAGCAACAATGAACCCTGTTGTCAACCCTATAATTTCGAACAGGTTGCTCTTCTTGAAGTAAGTGTATTCTGAATTGGTCATCAAGATATTTTGTTGCTGGCACCCATGCATACAGATTATCAACTGACCCTCCAAATCCTGGGGTATCTATAACTTTAATCCTCAACGAAAACCCTTCCTCAGCAACTTCGAAACCATTTACCACTACCTTGGAGGTAGGGTTTGTATCTTTCTTCTGATCCATACTAATTAGATCGGTCCCAAATAACGTATTTGTAAATGTAGTTTTCCCACTACCAGGAGACCCTACCACCATTAATGAGAAATTACCTCCATTTCTACGACAAATGGACTCTCTTTGTTCTGGAAGAAACGAAAGTCCAATTGTGGTGGTCGATCTGTTCATGTATATTGCATTGGTCGAAATACCTTCCGAGAATTCTTGAGTTTGATTAGAAGCCAGACATCTTTTACTTGAAATAGGCTTCTGGGTAAACTTTTTAAACAAATCTGAGTTATACAGTGTTACGTTTTGGCGTAAGTTGGTACTATCATTGAATATTGTCGTCCCCTTCAATCTAGTATCAAGAACTTCAATTTCGCTATCAAATGAAGAGAATTGTTTTTTATCCAAGTTTTCAGTATCCATTTCCTGATCAAAGTTAACTTGATGGTTATTTGCTTTGTTCTATAATACAAGTAGGGTTATTTGGCCACAAATAAGCTGCAAAATCTACGAGGTAACAAATACATATTAGTACTGCACATAATGAATATCATATTTATGTCCCAAAGTGCTATTGAAGTCCTTATGTTAGTTTCGTTTTTATATGAAAGTAGCTTAAATATCTTTTTCGGTATAAAAATGGAAGCATTCTTAAACCTAGGGTCTTTAAGCGAGGGCATCAAATGTAGTAAATGTCATTATGCAGTGAGGTTAAAGAAAAATATTCCAGAATCAGTATAACCGTTTTAGGACAATATGTAAACATAATTAATATATTGCAGAATTTCATACTTACTAAATAAGTAATACAATAGGATATCTTTAGTTAGAAGGAAGCACGGTTTCCTTAAGACTATTCATAGTTTATATTCGTTCGTTTGTTTAAATTTTCTTTTCTTACGTTTAACCCAGCCCTATCAAAAAAGATAAAGAGATCAAAAATTGAGATATACTTCCTGCAACTGGTGAAAAATTACTATGGAAGTTCCCTTTAAAGCAAGAATGTCAGTTGATGACATTAGTTTAGATTCCAGGCCTGTGGTTATACCAGAGAGAAGAGCTCGATCGAGTTCCCCAGTTAAGAACCGTCGTTCGTTACCACCAAATTTCTTTGACATGAAACTACCTTCCCTTCCATTTGCTAGTGAAGATGATATCAAGTCTATGACTTCAGGGTCAAGTACTTCATTATCTCCAAAGCAATTGAAACTGTTATCAAATTCTCCTATTTTCAATCGTTTACATGTCAGCACATCGCCTGAGCGCAGCCAATATGTAATCCCAATTCCTTTCACCCTTAAACTACCCCCTAAATTGAGTTCCCAAAATCAAAATCCTCCACTATCCAGATCAGGCTCTCCTGAAAGATCAAACTGGAATGAAAGAGGGAATTCTCCAACCAGATCACGTTCTCCTAATAAACTAAGTAGACTTGTTTACAACGGAAGCACATACGAAAAGTTGGACTCACTGTCAGACAGTGAAGTTGAAGAAGAAAGGAATCATATGGTTATGATACGTCGCCCTGCACCTCCTCCAGTTACTACTAATAAAAGAAAATCAAAGAAACAGAATATTCAGGCGAAGCAAATGTCTCACGATGAGTTGAGCACAATTGATGAAGCTAGCAACTACGCTAATTCAAGAACTCCAAGCACTAAATCAAGAGAGGAGAAATCATTGCCTCTTCCCCCATCAAATGAAAGAGCCAATATTGGAAAGATTTTACCCCAAAGTTCAAAAGAATCGCAATTGACCTTGCCTTCCTCAATTGAAACCCAAGACAAATTCACATTCAGGGTTCCAAAATGCGCTACTAATTCAAGAGATACATATAATAGAAATTTTTTGGTTCCAGAGAATAACCACCAAACTATAAATGATACTTTAAAAGCTTTTCCATCTTCGGTTACTAGTAATGCAACAGAGGATAATATTCGACAGCTTCAGTTTTCGAATGCTCCTATTGAATCTACTGATACTGTGTTAAAAATTCATAAAAGAAGTTTTAGCGATGAATCTAAAGTTTCTTCTCTTAGTTCATTTAGTTCATTCGGAGGTATGCTAAACACCTCTCCCTCGCCGAACTTATTTATCAATAATCATACGGGGTCACAGTTATTACAATCAAAAGTTGATACTCAATTACAAAAAATAGAGGACTCTAGAACCATCAGTAATGGATCAACAACGTCTTGTGAATCGGAAACTTGCAGTAATGCCTCATGGAACTCGTTACAAAAGAGTATTGATATTAGTGATGCAAAAAGTCTTTCGGAGTCCCCAGTTTTACAGGGTAAAGAAATATCCTCCACAGCAGCAACGCCTTCAAATAAATCAAACAATATGAATTCAAATCCATCTAATACCACCGATGGTTTACATGGTACTTTAAGGTTAAGTAATGAATTGAATTGTAGTGATTCAGATGAATCGGAAATTGCAGATTTATATTTGAATGAGTCTGATGTTTCTATGAATGATAATACTAATACTGAAGTACCTGATTTTCAAAAGGCAACAATATATTTTGAAAGTGATAACGAAGGTGCTGGTACTAAATTTAATTTTCCGGCTGGGAGCAGCAATATCACTAACAGTAAAGAATTGAAACATACTAAATCACATAGCTCAAGCCTTCGATCTAGTGCTTATATTGCACAATATAGATCTCCATCTGGTCAAATAGAGATTCCTGATTTAGATGATAAGTCTACTACAGGAAAGTATTCTGTGACCAGATCGTCTTGCTCATTCAATGGCACTACCTTCGATGATATTAATTGTGAGGATTCTGATGATACCGGAATAGAAAGTGGTGATAGCTCTAAATTAGAGCCAATTGGATTCCCTAGCAAGGCTGCAAGAAATGTAATCAAGGAACAATTTAAGTCCATGCATGGAGATGATGATTCTGATACAGATATAGAATCCGCTAAGTATTCGTACTTCTCCTCAACGACACCTAAATCAAAATCAACTCCATGTCTCTCACTTAGTGAACGACAATTACCACCACTTCCTGATAAAGCCGATATTAGACATCCACAGCCTAAATCTCCAGTTAAGCATATACGTCATAAATCTATGTTTAGCATCGATTTTGACCCAAATTCAGCATCAGCATCTATGCTGCAAACTACAAGACCGAAGTATCATAACAGATCAAAATCAATGGACTTGAATAATATAATATCACCATCTAATATCTCAAATACAACCTCAGAAACATTACCACTAAAGATTAAAGACACAAAGGAAGTAGCTTCGCCCGAAGAGATGAAAATACTGGTTACCGAACCTCCGAAACCAATTGATTACGCAGTTGATTTTAAAGAGGCTACAGTCAATGATAACTCGGCTAATATTGTTGGTGAACTTAATGACAAAGGAACTTGCTATGAATACCAACGCAGTCAGAGTAGCAATAAGAGTATCCAGAAGTTTTCAGAAGACTTTAACAAACTTAACATAAATCAAAACAACGTTAGCCCGAAGCGTACTCCTTACGATATGAATCAACCTCAAAATTACGAATTTGGATTAAATCCTACACCTTACAACATTCCAACACCTATTCGTTCTAATATGACTGAATCTAGTTCTGGTTCAAGCTATCAATCAAGCAGGAGTACTAAAAATACTAATTATACCTCAATGTCTGATAGTGATAGTGTTATTATTGACTTGACGAAAGATAAGTACGATGTATGTATGATACAAAGAAACAGTTCAACTCAGTCGTATAGATCAATCACAGAAAGGACGAAGGAAGGAAAAGAAGTTGAAGTGGTATTAGTGGATGATGAAGACGAAAATGAAGATGAAGTCGATGAATTGGCCAGTATTTACTCGAAGTATAGAAATAACTGGATATTTAGAACAGGATCTACTGCCTCTTGTTCTTCTAATGCAAGTACCGCCTCATTTGAAAGTGGTATAGCTTCAGAGTCTCAATTAAAATTGAAGCCATCCGCAAGCTTGGTTTCTAGACATAAAAAAATACAGTCACCAAGCAATATAGATAGATTATCCTCGCAAATTCAAAAGCAAAGGTTTAGTGAGATACAAACCTTACAATTAAGAAAATCAAATGTTGGAAACCCTACAATAAATCAATATCCTAGAGTAAAAGAAAATTCCTTAAATGTTAAACAAGTGACAAAGGAATTACCAAGAGTGCAAGCATCTTACGGTACAGCAGATGGCATATCCTCTCCGAATTTAAACTCAAAGTATTTTGATTATGCATCTGACAGTTATGATTTCAACAGCTTTATGAAACAGCAGGTGAACCCTAGATAATGATATTAAGTTTTTTCTTATAAACTGTTACACCTAATTATATTTTTATACTATTTTCATTTTCTTCAATAATAATTTTTGCTTATGGTTTTATTTAATTCATTCGATTGTATTATTCTAATTCAACTATTAGTTTATTTAGTTTATTAGATTACGTTATACATATATGCAATTTAATTACTCGTATCAAATTAATGGACTATCAGCTTCAGATATAGTTCCCAAATTATAGGAATCAGTACTTTTTGAATATAGAGGAAAATTGGACCTAAAAGTGTAAGGACCATTAGGTATTTCAGATGTTTTAGTTCTTTCATGTTCTTCATTTCTTTCCTCATTTAAGGTGTCACTATCAACTGAAGTAAAAGACTTCATTGACCTAGATGAGGGTCCTCTACTTATACCTCCATATTGATTGGTATCCGAATACTGGCCTGTACTATTACTCCTGTAGAAAGTGATTGTTTTGTTGATTGTCTCAATCTTGTTGGAAAGAAAATTATTGTCCGTGACACGTTTAGAAGGCTTTTTATTATATGAGTTGGATCTGAAAAATGCTGTCTCGTCTATAGGCGAGTTTAAAATTCTATTATATGTGGGATCCTCGAAATTGTAATCTTCAGGTAGTTGGTTAGCTTCATCAATCAAATCTTTATCAAGCGTTGAAATAGTGGTCTCAAAATCTAACCTCTCCGGTTCAGTCGGCGTTTCCGCTTTGTTTGATAAGGGTGGTTCAAATTCAGTCTTAGAAGATAAATCACTTAAATTAACAGCTTTGAAGTCTATCTTTTCATCATTGTCATACCAAGAATATCTTTTGCTTTCCTTTGAAGCTTCTGCTGCTATTCTCTTTAGAGGATTTTTAGAAACCTTAGCAGAAAATTTGCCACTTACCTCACTAGCATTGATATTATTAATGTCTGGACTATCGGCCTTATGCGTACTTTCTAGAAGTTCTAAAGTAGCCATCATATTTGTAACCGATTTTCTCTTCGTATTACTTACTTCCTTATTTTGAGATTCATTTATTGCTAATTTATCCATCATGTCAATTATGGAAGTCCTTCTCAGGTGATCTGTATTCGTTGCTTCCGGTGAGCTGATGTTCTTCTGATTCATAGATTCTTGAGACTTTTCCAAGCCCGCCAATACATTCATCATCCCTAGTATTGATTGTCTGTTATTTCCAGATCTATTCTGGTTTGAGTCTATTGGTTCATCTAATTCCTCTCTTGTATTATTCGGAAGACCCATATTTTCAGTTCCCGAATCAGCAGATCTACTTCTATCCTCTAATGTTCCCAAAATGTCCATAATTTCATTTACTGGTGCAGTTACAATTTCTGTAACAGCTGGTTGGGGCTCACCATTTATGATCTGATCCAGGTCAAGAAGTATACCAAGTCCAACATCTTTTTCCTTGATTGACTTCAACGAACTAGTTGCATTTGTTACTTCTCTCCTTCTGTTAAAAGACTCTATTTCATTTAATTTCTCTGAAATTTTACAATCAAGGTTGTCACTAATAGAACTGTGGAAACTTTTTAAAGCTCGCTGTCTGAAAATATCCCGATCATCTTTTAGTGTTGTGTTAGCATTTTCACTGCAATTCGTAATATTATCTATTCCACTTTCAAGCGAAGCTTGTCGGAAAATGAATAACTTATTTGTTTTACTATCGTTGTCTTCTTCTTTAAAATCATTATCCCGACGTAGCCTGTGTCTTAAATTGTTACCTATTGTTAACCCGTTAATCATAGGAGAATTTAAATCATAAAGCTCCAAGTTACCCGATGATTGTAAATCAGGCGTTTTTCTATTATAATTCAATGTTGCAACATCCACCGATGACAGTCTTCTAAGATCCATGTAATTTTCTAGAAGATCTTCATTATGAAAATTACTTTCAGATATTGATTCCAGAGATTTGGATTTATCGTCAAATCCATCAATAGATAAATGATAAGAATGATTAAAGGGTCTATGATTTTTTAATTGCACATCAGGAAGTTTAACATCAGTTGACGTGGTCTCAGTTTCCATTTTGTCGAATGGATTCGAACTTAAGGCAGAGCTCTCTTCAAAGTTATTACTAACAGAATCTAAAGATTTGTCTGTGTTCAGTTCTTTTATACTATCGGAATTCTGATAATTTTCTTGTTCATCACAAAATATGTCATCATATTGTCCATCAGCATCCTCTTCATCGTCATAGTTGAAGTCCTCGTCCTCCATTCCATTATTTTCGAAATCATAATCAGAAAATTCGTCAACTTCATATCCTAAATCATTTTCATTAAATTCATTCAGTTGGGGAAAAGCTTTATTGTTTCGTGGGGATGTATTTGTTTTATAATATTTTACAGACGTGTTTCTGCCTCCAGCATTATCCTTAACAAAGGAAAATTGGGAAGAGGAACCCGAGTCGGAATAATTATCATCGTTTTCCGTTCCATCCTCCCTAATATCTGTTGAATAATTTGAGATGTCATTTTCTGTAGAATTATTAATTTCACAATCGGGCTGAAAAGATACCAGTTTTGTCTCAAAATTCTTACTATCTGCTAATGAAATGCTGGATTCGTTTGCATTTGTTTTCTCCGATTCATCATCTACTTCTGGTAGACTCAAAGGTGGTGCCAACAAATTTTGGTTAGCCCTATCATGATCTGATGGAGATTGTGAATATAGCGATTGCGAGTATGGTGAATATGATGGAGGCATAAAGACTTCGTGGCTATCGTAATTATTTGTACGATATATATCTCTAGGCAGCGCAAGGGCAGGTGATGACCAACAAGCTCCAGAGTTCATGTTGGGTGTATGCATTTGAGCTAATGTGTCATTCAGAAGTGTGTGTGATTTTAGCTGACTACTCCACTCGCGCTTCTGGTTCTCTCCGGTAAGCTTTAAGCTGTCAACCTTATTAGTAGTTCCGTCCAGTGGTGTTACAGAAACACGCTTCTGGTCATATTTACGTGGTGCGTGAACTTTCTCTTTCATTGGGCCTGATAAGGCACTATTCAACCGATCTCCCGACAGTAATACATTGTTGGACTGCTTGGCGTGGTTTGGTGAAGAAAATAGGTTTTTAATGGGCGTTAATAGCTTTTTAGGTGTACTCATTGACTTCTGGGGCGATGTAAACTGGGTCTTCTGCTGGAAATTTGGTGATTGAAGAATTGGACCACTCGCATGATTTATTCGGGGTGGATTTTCGATCTCATAGTCATAGAAATCCGAATTAGAAGACTCACTTCTCATATGACCCTTTATAAATGACCGCATACTGGGTAATAGACATATGTCACAGACAACCTGCTATTGTGGGCTAAACGGTTTTTCTTGATAACGATTCCTTGCGCGATAAAATAATTTTTCAGCGTCCTACCAAAGTCAATTCAAGACACCAAGAGTACTCGCTCGAGTATTAAAAGGTTATTAACAAGTTGTGAAAAGGTCTAATACTTGAAGTTGTTAAGGATTATCTTACAATAAGCCGTGATCTAATTTTAGTTACGTTTAGCATGTAGGCATGGCTGGCATTTTGAAATCTCGAATTCCTTAATGCAGTACTCGCGACAGCAAACGAAATCAGCAGGAGTATTGCAACCAGCGACCATCCGATCCACCAACACCCACGAACCCATACACCAGTATTGTTCACAGAGGAAGATAACAAAAAAACGATGCCTGTATCTGTGTATCTATTTGGTTATAGCTATATCTGAATAGGCAATTTGTACTATGGCCAACCGATAGTGATTCCGAAATTTTCTCAACACAACCACAAGTCTCATACACTCTTGTATTCTGTCTAATTTCTGTGCAGTATTTGTCCTTACATAGAGATCGAGACCCCTGTCAACCAGTCTATTATATGAATTCAAGCATAACAGAGTAGGGTCTAAAATTTACAGGCATCTTTCGCCATTGCCTGTTGTAGCTTTGGCTGCCTATTTCTGTCATGATATAGTTAAACGATTGTGGTTGCAAAAATTGTCCTTCCCCTCTTATCTCTCATGAACCTATTTAAACCCGGGAATCTCCATACAAGGACATTTTTTCTAGAATATTTACTTAACTATCAACAAGGGTCAGATATTGTTAACTGTTCACGCATATGCCAAAATTCCCAATCAATAAGACCCCTTCACCCAATGTTGACCATTATCACCAGTCTGTGGCGGGATCTACATCACATGCTCAGACACATGATACATGATACATTTTGCCCGTATATTGGGTCTAGCCCGTATCATATACACGTGATGTATGTGACCGTGTTTGGCTTCTACTAGCCCAAAACCCGCGTCTGACACGACCGATTCAACTAAAATATATCATTGATGACATAATCCATAATTATGGTGCGAGAAATTGAATTTTCACTTTGCTAGTAGCACTCCAGACGAAACAGAATTTTCACATAGTGGAAAAAATTGATTTTTTATTGAAAATCGGTTAACAGTTTTGAAGGACCTTTTGTTATTCGATATTCAGAAATAGTCTTATAGTATTAAACATGCTTATTCCAAGAGAAGACAGAAAGAAGATTCACCAATACCTCTTCCAAGGTATGTACTGATTGTAATAATAAAGTACTAAGTTCGGTTCAGATTCAAAGATGGATGAATGGTGGCATTAGAAATAGAGGCAACATATAACCCAAATAGCAGATATAGAGAGCAGTAACGGGAACAAATGCTCTTAAAAGAATGTAGGGGATTCAGAAGGAATCTGAAAGGATTGGAGAGATTATTCTGTTTCGAGACGAAAAATTTTTAGGGGCCCTAGAGCCACAAGAGGAATCAAATTAGACCTTATGAATTAACAGGAAGATATCCGGGATCGAGAGAGGGTTTCGAAAGTGAATAGAGGAAAGGGAGAAGATTTTTGTCACTTCTATGTCGTGTTCAGAATTAGCCTTTGTTCATTTTCGGCCGTTTCTGGGCCTGGTTGTTCGCCTAATTCTTCAAGGAAGTGAACTGATACCGAACCGTACTAAGGATATATTGTGGACATATACTAACTCATTTATAGAAGGTGTTGTCGTCGCCAAGAAAGATTTCGATGCTCCAAAGCACGATGAAATTGACACCAAGAACTTGTTTGTCATCAAGGCCTTACAATCTTTAACCTCTAAAGGTTACGTCAAGACCCAATTCTCATGGCAATACTACTACTACACCTTAACTGACGAAGGTGTCGAATTCTTAAGAAACGAATTGAACATCCCAGAAGGTATCTTACCATTGACCAGATTGAAGGGTGCTCCAGCTGAAAGACCACAACGTGCTTCTAGAGGCCCAAGAAGAGATGGTGACAGTTACAGAAGAAGAGCTCGTGATTAAATTACTCATACTTGATTATTTTACTTCATATTTATGATCTTAGGTTAATTTAATTGTTGTGCTTTATATATATACTATTTGTAAACTCTATCTTACTCTTTTAATAAAAGAAACCACATTTATTGTATCATATTGCTTGTATGCCACTGTTTTATTCCCCCGTCGCTTTAAGCCTGCCTGCTGTCTTATAATTCTACATAGGGTTCTACCTTCGCATACACGAATATGAGAGGCTTCTAGCCTATTCCATATTTTTTTTCTGTTTTGGCAATTCAGACACGTCTACAGCTACTTGCATCATGTTTTATATTAGCATTAATCCCTGTGACACATTCCAACGCATTGTATCTTATATAATTCTCTTACATAATTTAGCATTATAAGTAGGCTTCGTTTAAAGCGTTTGTCAGAATGACGCTTGCGACACGCTCGCGGACATTATTAAAAATTTAAGCAAACTGTCAACAGTCTATTTTTACTCTATTCTCCTAATAGTAACTTAACTTTTTTCATATCGATTAAATTTAATAGAATGCCAGTCGATGAATTGCCTATGTATCCGACACCCCAGCAAGCAGCTTATACTGTTGGGAACCAAGCGCAGGGCAGTTCGAGAAAGCAATCACACCCCAAACAATCCAACGTCGTATATAGGCCAGCCCAGCACCTGAAGCCAGTTCCATCACAATATTCACATTTGCAACCTCATAATACTCAGGCATATCAAGGACAACCACCAGCAGATTTCCAAGGACAATACCTGTCGCCATCGCATCACCAGTCTCAATCTCATCCTCCACCTCCTCACGCACAACAATATCCTCAATATCAACCTCAGCCAGTCCAGCAGCAATATTATCAACCTCAGCCAGTTCCTGTGCCTGTGAAACCTAGTTATGGGTCATATGGATCTAATGAGTACGCGAGTTCGCCAGTAAATCTGCATCATCCACAGCATCAACCTCAACCTCAACCTCAACCCCAACCCCAACGTCAACCTCCACAACAGACTTATCAAGTGCCTCCACAACAACATCAACCATATCAAGGAATGCCTCCACAACCTTCTCAACCACCTCAACAGACTCAATCGTCCCAACATCCACAACAGAGATATCAAAACTTCAATAATGCTCCTCAAGTGAGTAATCAACATCAAAACCCACACAAGAAACCGCCGCCATCCAATCCAACACCTACTGGATCTAAAGAATCGTTACTGATCCCTAGTTCAACTCCTCCAAAACAACATGTATCCTCAAAACAAAAATTGGAAAATGAATTGAAATCTGTGTTTAACAAGGTGGATATTAATCATTCAGGAAAAATATCGTCAAAGGAATTATCATTAGCTTTACTTAACTTTGATCATACAAGATTCCAAGATTCTACAATTTCATTAATGATTAAGTTATTTAGTGGTTCTAATGGTTCGAGCTCTGGAAGCCTGAAATCTTTGACATTCGAACAATTTGTTTCCTTGTGGAAATATTTGTCCGCTTACAAGAAATTATTTGTAGCTGCTGACTCCAATAAGTCAGGAGATATATCGTTTGGAGAATTTCAAAAAGTTTTAGAGCAGATTGGTTATAAATTAAACATAGATTTAGTCTTGCATCTATTCCAAAAATTTGCACAAAAGGCGAGGGATGATGGATATGATGATGGATCAGTTGGTAAACTTAAATTTGACGCTTTTATCGAATTATTAGTTTATTTAAGAAAACTAACAGATATCTTCAAAAAGTATGATAAAGACTTATCAGGTGTTGCAACGATTAATTTCCTGGACTTTTTATTCGAAGTAAGTAACTTATCGTAATTAGTGATCAATTCTTGTAATACTATCTGAATTATTATGTAATACGATTCCTTTGCAATTATTCTTATTTATCTATTATGTATAATAAAGCAAGTTAATATATATGCTGTCTTTTTTAACTAATGTAATTCAATATGTCTTTAACTACCGTATTCAGAATTTCATCTGACGCGGTTTTTGAATTTTTAGATATTTTGCAATCATTACAAAAATTCACAAAAATACTTTTATTCATATAATTATTATATTACCTATACAAAATAACTTTTCCAAAGAACACCTTCAAGATCTTGCATTTGGCTTTCGTTGAAAACCTTACTATCAACGTGCCAGGTATCTTGTCTATTTTTTTTAAACTTACCTAAAGTATCTTTTGCTGTTTTTCCTACGATACCAGGTAAACCGGACGACTTGTTAGCTAACATTGTCAAAACGTTAGGAACCCATATTGGAGGGGGAGATAAAAATGGGAATGCATGAACCAAAGCACCAAGACCTAAAGTAGCTCCATGAAGTGTTATATTGTCTGTTGTTGGAATATTCTTATAACCAGTCTTTTTATGTTTCTTCCTCATCTTATCCAAATCTTGTGCATAAGTTTTGCTATATTCTAAAACAATTTCCTTTATATCATTGGGAGGAGATATGTGAATCAATCCAGACAAAGTGGACGCAGCAGCTTCCCGAATTTCAACATTCTTATGATAAAGCAACTTATTAGTTAAGCTAATAATTCTCTGTCTTTGTGACTTACTAAAGCAGAAGAGATTTTTAAAATATACAGTCTCCGTAAATTCACCGATAATTATCGATTGGACTACTGTTAAAGACTCAAAGGAATATCTTTCAAGCATGCAAACGATTCTTTCCAATGTACGCGCATTATAAGGGATTTGAGAAACCTTCTTGAAAACAGTTATCGGATCTATGTTTCCTAATTGACATACTTCTTTCATATTGATCAATTTAAGCAAGAATGGCACAATATGCGTATCTACATCATCCTGATACAATACAGAAACACTGGTATTTAATGCTTGTCCTAACCAGGTTAATACGGTTGTTGCAGAATAAATATAATTGGATTTTAAAATTTCCTGTTGTGTCAAGTGTTCAACTTCTAATCTCCACCCCTCGATCTTGGTGAACAATTCTGGAATCAATTCAAGAAGTGTATTTTTCTTACTTGCAAGGTACAAGAGGTTTCCAGAATTTGTATTACAAGCGTTGGCAAACTCTTCACCACTAGCAACCGATTCTGTGTAATAAGTAAAAGACAAGATTGCAATGAGTGCCCCAATTTGATCCCTAATGGCTTGGTAGCGATGGTTTATATTATCAAAGCACATCTTTAGCGTAGCATCGGGATTTGGATATGTCCACGTAACAGCTGCGATGAACGATCTAATGTAACTCAACCTTGTTGCTTCTTTTAGAGCAGAATCTGATTCTGGGTCTACGACGAAGTCAGTGAGCACTCTAGTTACTCTCGGAAATCTCCTGCAGTCGATATGTGAAGGAACCCACCAAGAGAATATGTTCCAAATTCCTCTGTTATCTGGAGATAAATCATGTTCAAAAATTTCTACCAAGAGCAGGGATATAAAACTATCACGCTTATCTGTCAAAGATGGATTGATAAACTTCGATCCGATTAATATACCAGCTATCAATTCACATACAACAATATGCGAACTCTTGTCGTCCTTAATGTAAGTATCACTAACAATGTTTAATAAATCGTCAAAAGAAACTTGTTCAATGTACCCATTTGATATCAAATGAACTAAGGTAGCAGTAACAAAAACATCCGTTCCTTGATATGCAGAATTAGCTTCATTATCCGTAACCCATAATTTCACTATATTTTGGAACCATTCTTTTGTCACGCAGTTACTAAACGATTTCAAAGCGTTCGCATCATGTGCTTTTAATTTGAGTTCAAAACAAGGTTCATTTGTAACTACTTCCATATTTTTGTCCCAAAACAACCAACCTGTATTTGCCTTATGGTCAATAAAGTAACTTGGAGAATTTGAGTTGTTGATCTCATGAGTCCAAACATTAAAGTAAGACTTACCTGAGATAGGTGATGTATCAACAACCTTGAAATCACTTGGAACAAAATCAAGGTTATAAGCATTTGAAAGATCATATTGAAGCACCTGAAGTAGATAAAGTTTATTTACCATTTTTGTAATACCCTTCAAAGCTAGTCTCGAGATAAGAGGATGATCGCTTGAAGCTTCTTTTGCTAATAACTGTAAGACATCATGGTTAACTGTCATCTCTAAATCAAGCTGCAAATCTATGATTAAAAATAAGTTAAGGGAGGTTATCTTCCAATGTGAATTGGTTTTCTCATCTTGCAAAACACTATCTTCCAATTTTCTTAGCTTTTCAAAATAGATTTTTCTTTTCTTTTCCTTAGCTAACCTAACTGCACGTATCTCTAAATCAATATATTCATCTGGCGGTCTTATACAATCGACCTCAGAATGATCAATCAAGCATACACTACTAGGTGGCGTGATGCTATTATAGACACCTTTGAATAATCTTTGAGAGAGCTCATTTACCTCAAAATTATCAACAAGCAAACAACGATGAATCAATTCAACATATTTCTGAAGATTGAAGTAGTCATTTTGAACCTTATTTTTAATTCTCTTCAAGCTGAAAATACTTAATCCACTTTCAATTTTTCTATAATCATTTTCGTCTAAAGCTTTAGCAAGGTATTTAAAAGACGAACGAATTAATACATTATAAGATCCATTCAACCTCTTCATTGCATCAACTAAAGTTGATTGAGCCGGTTTAGCGATCGCTAAATATGTTGAAACAGATAATTTCACAACATCCTCTAATAAGGTTTTATCAAGATCAGTTTGCGTTCTAGCAGTAGCATGAAGTGCTACTCTAAGCAGATGATAAGATTCAATTCTGCTTCCAAGTGCTATCCTGGTATATGGCTTACGAACCCTATTTATATGTTGAATACTGCTAACGTAGCCAAAATTAATCTTCGCATGGCTATGGTCCAATAAACGTTCACGACCAACATCTGCAAACCACATGTTCATCAAGTATAAGAAATGCTTGAAAAGTTTTGTATTATCATGAAAATGATTTGTTAAAAATTTGCATATAATATGTAAACTCTTTCCTATCAAGTTACGAGTTTTATGTAAGATTAGATACAACTCGCTTGACCTTCTAGTTTCCATATCATCCCCAAAAAAGTATCTAGAAGTATAAAGCTTCCTTTCTCTGAATGTTATACCAGGATTCATACTGGACATATCAACACCTTCAATATGTGGTGTACCTCTACCTGAAGCATCGACTGATGGAGCTGGTGATTCAGATTTACTTAAAGATTCTAGAGGATGGGTTCCGTTTGAAAAAGAATCAGTGATATCATGACGATTTGAAACTTCCCTATTCTTAATATCATTATCTTCATCAGTAATATTATAGTCCCCCAATTTTTCAAAGTCTAACATATAATTTATTAAGTCATCACTTCCTATGTCTTCAACTATTCTTTCTAAATTCTCATGAATATTTTCAATACGCAATTCATCTTTTCCCAAAGGTTTACTATTTTTCATTCCTCTTATTTGGTTTAGCAAAATTAGCCTTTGTTGGATGGATTGTGTTTCATGCTGATTCAATTTAGGTATATCTTCATCAAAAGATGGATCTAATAAGAAAGATATACCACTAATAGAATAACTCAAGTACAAAAAGTACAGTCTAAGATCGTCCGAAAGCTGAAGCGCTGCATTAGCGTCTCCATTTCCAGCTTCTGAATATCTTTTCATTAACTTCAGAACATTTTCCAAACTCTTAGAAACATGACTCCTGAAACATTCCACAGCAAATTTAACCTCCCTTTCTGTTGGGATAAACCATTCAAAATCTAAATTGTCTTTTGAGAATCGTTCTTTATCAAATTGGAAACCTCCCCAGCATTTTTCATCAATTCCATACTTCTCTTCATATTGTGGGGAAATCAACCTATTCTCCTTGAGTCTTATTTTAGTTGTGGATTGTAACATTTGATTTAATAAATAGGAGCCTGCAAATACCGTAGGACCCTTGACATTGTCCATCAAAAAGAATGACAAATCATTGAGCTCCTTTGCGCAGTCAACAACATAACTTCCAGCATTTCCGATACATTCATTTAATATAACAAGGTTCCAGAAAAGAGGTTGGTCGCGAGGTACAATTTCTACACCCGTTCTTGATGCACCAGCACCATTTTCTTCTATGTCCTCTTTAATTTTATCTATCAAAACTTCCGCATATCTTTTAAAAGATTTTGGATCATGCTTTATAAGACCACCACAAATTTCGGCTGCTACATCAGCAATCGTATGGTATGTATTCTCCGTGACAAACTTGAAAAAATCATCACGGAATTGTGAAAAAATATCATCCGATAATGACTCAAATACAACATATAAGAACTTTGGCAATGCATCCGCCAAATCTTTTTCAATGCCCGTACTCTTCGAAGGGTCCGGCAAATTCTCCATAAGAATGAATAATCTTTCACTTAGAGTTTTCATTATTATTTTGAAGCCTGTAGAAGAGGATCTCAATGCATTAATTTCCAACTCATCATCAATTTCAAAAGTTTGAACATCTTCATCATTGGTACTATACATTTTTCTTTGCAAATACTCTAAGTGATCTTGAGTAAATTGAATAGCAAAATTAGGATCACCATCACCATTAGTTAAATCATGAAAGGGGACGAAGTTAGCAACTGATGCAAACATATTTAAAGTATGAATTGTTTTCTCTAAGTCATTCGAGTCTATCCCCGGTAAAGCCAACAGTAATATTCTTGTTAGGTGGACTCTTATAACTGGAGTTGATGCAAAGTACCTTGCTAATTCTTCAACAGAACGCAATGCAACTGTCACTCTATGTGTGGATATAACACCCTCTAAAGATTCATAAATGTCTAAAAGGATATGTTCCGATACCAAGTGTGGTCTAAGATATGCCAATAAATGGAAACAGGTAAGATAATCATCGGTAACATTATGCTTTTTAGATTGAACACCGGTTCTAATTAAAGGTAAAAATATCTCTACAAATTTAGTAGTTATTTGGTCTGTCAATTTATACTTTTCTGGTAAATTCTTCAATGATCCATATTCCTGCGTTTCCAAATTAACTCTTTTATGGTATTGATAGACCATACTTAAAATTAACTTCGAAATTGACCTAGACCATTCGCCACTGTTAGAAGGATGCACATAACTCTCTATCGCATTAAGTAGCGTTTCGAGATAGTTAATTATTCCATCAGGTTCCAAACCTCTTTCCCCATTAATGGAGAATATGATTACCGATGCAAAACCTTGGAAAAACTTAGTCTTTAGAGAAGAATATTTTTCGTTCATAATGCTCAAACTATTGATCAAGGTGTTAATAAAGAATTGCATCTGCTCGTCAGAGAAGACACCAAATTTTCCAATATTCATATAACTCGAACCATTTGTATTACGACTTAACTCCAACAATGATGCCATCGCAATTGTTCCGAGTCTAGACGTAAGATGTGAATCAATGCCTGAACTCTTACTTAATTTTGACCAGACGTAAAAGAAAGATGCAATATAATGACGAATATCCTCTGGATCGTCGATGCCACCTTCAGTAAAGGGAAGTGGCAATAAAGACATGGACGAAAGAGATAAGGCCGCATTAGAAATTGAAAACTTACTGCCAAACCTCGCGTAAATCAAAGGTAATGATTCTTTTGTAAAGAAGCTAGATGCCTTCTCAGCCAAGCGTATCAAATGTTTGTGGTCTTTTTTTTCAAATTGTTCATGGGACGAGTCTATTTGTGGAAATTGGTTTTCCAACTCTTTGCACAACCCTTCCCATGGGAGAACAAAGTCGTGCTTTTTAAGCAATTCATGATCCTTCGTTAATAGTTCGAATGCTTTGACATAAATTTTCAAATTAATGTGTTGTCCTCTGGTGAGGCAAATAGCATAATATACTCTAGCCAAGTTCATTCTTAAACTTAATGGCATGTCGTATTTCATTTTGAGCCAAACAAGCAATTCATGTGTCCAAATACGAACACCCACCACTGCAGCTGACTTAGGAGACTTCTTATGCTGAACTGTAGATTCGTTACCATCGCCTTCATCTCCATCATCTTCTTCACCTTCAGCCTCCTCTTCTTCATATTCGCTGTCTGACTCAGCAAATTCCTCTACTGCAAAATAATTACTCGATTCATCATCCATACTGACATCTTCATTATTGGCATTGTTCATCTCAAAGAGGTTTGTTTCAAGTGCTAAATCAACGTCAGATAAACCACTAGCATTTTTCAATGACGCTAAATCCTTAGCAGTAATTGATAAGGAACCCTGAATATCAAGACTCTTAATAGCGATGTAGAGATGAGATACAATGTGACTCAAAAATTTCGCCTGATCCTTTGGAAGTTCAGTTTCATACGGAAGCAACCTAGGAAGGTTCAACGTCCTGGGCCTTTCTCTGGCAAAAAATCGAGATTTGGGATCCAATTGCTCTTTTTCTATCTCGTCCCACCCTTCAGGATAGTCCAAATTATAGTGCGATTCTCTGCTGAATTCAATACTCGAGTACGATGGCCTTCTTGTAGCAGTTTGCTGTACACGCTTCGCTGTGTTTGGCGTATATGATCTCAATGAATTGTCAAATTGTGCCTTGTCCTCGTCTTGCATCTGCGAGACTGCTCTCTCTACGATGGGGTTTTGCTTTCTGATGGGAATCGGTGCGCTGACCCTGGACTTCTTTTCCGACTCATTTGTATTTTCTAGCTTATTTTCCAGTGGTGTCATCGCTTGGCTGTATTTTGGTCTTGTTGCAAGCGATATCAAGACCAATTGTATATTCAGCTGCTTATTCTTTACAAATCATATATAATGTCTTTCGCCATTGCCACTACATATCAGCCCAGGTATCACAAAACCGCTCAGCGTCTAATCCTCCTCTTCTCTTGTGACATTGTGACATTGTCCCATTACTAACTATAGCAAACCTATCTTATCCTTATTCTCCCAAGGTTCCAATTCAGCGGTTTATGCTTGTTATTCGTGCCGTTGTTGTCTGTAACCCGTGCAGCAGTTGTAGAGATAAGAAAATGGCGATGATCTAACTACAATTCTACAAATAATATTCAATAATATGAATTCACTGACATTGATACATGCTTATCCAGTGCTGAATGGCGTCAAAACCAATAGTTATTCTGGAACATTTCACTATAGGTAGTATGCATATTTAGTTATCTCTATGAACCACGATGGACCATTCCAGAAGATGCATTACGTAATGCTATTAAAGTCTTTTTCCTAATGGTTATGTTCCCTTCCCAAAAAAATTCTCAGGTCTTCGACAGTGCGTACTAAAGGTGAAAAATACTAAAGATATAGTTTTTTCCTCTTGATACTAGCAATTTGTAACTTATTAATTGATTTATCTAAAGATGTCTGTTTCAGCTTCAAAAGCTAAGAGAGAACAAAAGCGTTTAGAAAGAGAAGCACAAAAATCGGCTGCTGGTAAAACAACCAAGAAGACCAAGAAGCAAGCAGCAAAGGATGCAGAAGAAAAGGATGTCGATGATGCTGAAACACAAATTTCTAAATTGAAATTACAAACCGATGAAGACGGTATATCTGACAGAGTGACCACAGGTGTTTTAGAGTCGTTAAACACCTCGAGAGATATTAAGTTATCTTCAGTTTCGTTATTATTCCACGGTAAGGTTTTGATTCAAGATTCTACCATCGAATTGAATTATGGTAGAAGATACGGGTTATTGGGTGAAAATGGATGTGGTAAGTCGACCTTATTGAAGTCCATCGCTGCCAGAGAATTTCCAATTCCTGAACACATTGATATATATTTGTTGAATGAGCCAGCTGCTCCTACCGACTTCTCAGCTTTGGAATATGTTGTCAGAGAAGCCGAAGCTGAAATGAAGAGATTGGAAGACTTGGTGGAAGAAATTATTGTCAAGGATGGTCCAGAAAACCCAGCGTTAGAAGGTTTGTACGAAAAGATCGATGAAATGGATCCATCTACCTTCGAAGCTAGAGCTGCTGTTATTTTGACCGGTTTAGGTTTCAACGGTGTTACAATCAAGAAGAGAACTAGAGATATGTCTGGTGGTTGGAGAATGCGTGTTGCATTAGCCAAGGCCTTATTCGTTAAGCCAACCTTATTATTATTGGATGATCCTACTGCCCATTTGGATTTGGCTGCTTGTGTCTGGTTGGAAGAATACTTAAAGAGATTCGACAGAATCTTGATTTTAGTCTCGCACTCTCAAGATTTCTTGAACGGTGTCTGTACTAACATGATTGATATGAGAATGAAGGGATTACAATTATACGGTGGTAACTACGATTCTTACGTCAAAACCAGAGCTGAATTAGAAACCAATCAAATGAAGCAATATGCTAAGCAACAAGAAGAAATCACTCATATCAAGAAGTTCATTGCCTCTGCTGGTACTTATGCTAACTTGGTTAGACAAGCCAAATCTAGACAAAAGATTTTGGATAAGATGGAAGCCGATGGTTTAATTCAACCAGTTGTCCCAGACAAGGTTTTCTCCTTCAGATTCCCAGATGTTGATAAGTTGCCACCACCTGTTTTGGCTTTTGATGGTATGTCATTCTCTTACTCTGGTAAGGAAGAAGATAACTTATATGAAAACTTAGATATAGGTATTGATATGGATTCAAGAGTTGCTTTAGTCGGGCCAAATGGTGTTGGTAAATCCACATTATTGAACTTATTCCAAGGTAAATTACAACCTCAAAAGGGTAGAGTTATTCAGCATACACACATCAAGTTAGGTGTCTATTCACAACATTCTGCTGAACAATTAGATTTGACAAAGAACCCATTGGAATTCGTTCGTGATAAGTTCTCCCACATTTCTCAAGATTTCCAATACTGGAGACAGCAATTGGGTCGTTATGGTTTAACTGGTGAAGGTCAAACTTCCCAGATGGCCACTTTATCCGAAGGTCAAAGATCTCGTGTTGTTTTTGCATTGTTAGCTTTAGAAGCCCCTAATTTAATTTTATTGGATGAACCTACTAACGGTTTAGACTTGGCTACTATTGATTCTTTAGCCGAAGCTATTCAAGCTTTTAATGGTGGTGTTGTTGTTGTTTCGCACGATTTCAGATTATTGGACAAGGTTGCTAAGGACATTTTTGTCATTGAAAACAAGACAGCCACTAGATGGGAAGGTTCTATCTTAGATTACAAGAAGAGCTTGGCTAAGCAAGTTGTTCTTTAAGTTCAATGACTCCACTAACTTATTTACTTATGTATTTTACTTCGATCTTATAATATGTAACTCATTACTAATCGTTATACTGTAAATTGGTTTTAAAAAGGTTTATATCAAAGTTCTATTGCAAACTGATTAA